TACAAACAGCGTTCAAATGCATACGTCCAGTAATACTCTTGATAGACAAATGCACAATCTAGACATATTGAAAAGTGAAACAGTTTCAAAAAGACATTGCTGACTTATGATGATAATACGTACTTCTCCTTTTCTTTATGTCGTTAGACCTAATGATATTAACCTTTATTGTTACACATTTCCCATGCATTACTTTTTTTCCATTCTTTGGTTTCTCTTTTTTAATGCAATTCGTTGAACATTGGGTTTTGTTGTTTTCCTTCCGTCTCGTGTCATGCAGATAGTCTACATACACAGCTATGGTAATGGTAATTATGAAATGTATTGTAATGGATGCCACAATGTCTATTATCTAAATTCTGTTTTCTTTTATGTTCCCAAATTATTTTTCTTAACATCAATAAGACCCAGTATAATAAAATACGATTTTGACAAGTTGTCGTTTACTAACATCAGTCACGTTTCAAAGAATTTACTGTGCGTTAATGACAGCAGAGTCTAAGAATCCTTCTAAGATAGATTATGACAAGTTTCTGATATATTATTTTGTGCACAGCAAAATTTTAACATAATGAATGCCTTCACAGAAGAGATCATAATGGTAGAGCCTCCATTGCCGACTGCGGCTGAGCACTGGTAACTCTTCGTAGAGCAAAGGGCCTATGAGTTAAGCCACTGGTTGGCCTCCTGTTGAGAGATGAGACCTTTCTGGAAAGCTTTCCGAACGAAGTCTTGAGCTGTCCGTCCAGCCACCCCGGAGTGACTGCGTGTTCTGGCTGTGAGGAGAATGGGGAATAGAGAGGCTGTAGTCATTATGAACGGCGCTTAGCTGCTCATGTCAGTCAGGAACGGGAATAATAACTATGGTAATCACTTCACTATAACAGTGGAATGGGTAGCGATAACAAGATTCATCAGAATTATACTTGTGTGCATGAATAGTGTTGTTGACTCTTGCGCACAGTGTATGTACGAAGATGATCATATACCTTCAATGTCTTCACATTTACGAATGACTTTGAAACCCCAACAGTACCAGCAAGAATAACGAAAATGCCAATACCAATAGGAAAAACTATAATACCAATATAAATAAAATCAGTAATGATAATAGTCGTACCAATATCACTGACAGCAAAACCAAAATTCGTCCTACCTTCTCCTCTGATGGCCGTCCAGCCTGGGCACCACATCCTCCCCTTGTAGTTCAACTGGAACCTCTTAATGTACGGCTTGACGGTGAACTTGCACTCGTGGCCCAGGAGTTCAGTTTTCTCGTTCCTCCACAGCCTTGTCGGAGCAGAATGGACGAACAAATTAGGAAAATGAGTCATCAATAAGAACAGGGATGTCGACAATTTGGAATGATAATTAACAAGAGCAGTATCAGTAGGATTGATAAAGTAACTGCTGAGATACTTGGGCAAACTTATAATAGATAAAGACAAGTAAGATACATGGGATGGGAGTGATATGAAGAAGATATGAAAGGTAATAACAGTCGTGAAAACAAGGCACATTTAGGACAAGAAGAAAAGATTAAAGATAGCTAAAATATCTGAATACATAACCTAAAAAGAGAACAAAATGATCATGATAAAATATAAGAGTCATGACATAAGAAAAGGAATGGAGTAAGTGCCACACCCAACAATCTTGCTGGCGACGGCCGCTGCCACAGCCTCCCACCCTTGAGCCTGGCACTGCGGGGCGAAGAGTGCCACCAGGGACACCGCCAGCACCAAGCTTGCCAACACGGAGACACGCATCTTCTGCAAGGCAAATTGAAGGTAATAATTAAAAGAAAATGGCACGAAAAGGAGAGAAAATAAAACCAATATGCATACGACCATAGATCAAAATCTCTAACCCAATATCAGCGGGGTTATTTACTGGCCCCTTTAGATTTTAGTGAGTTCTGTTACATACAGATGGCTCCACGTGTGCTCAGCAACAAGGAGTCTCTCAGTAGCCCTCGTGACCCACCCTGATTTCCCCATTCCTTGAATTGGCGGGAAAATGAGTTTTTATTTCCATTACTATTAGTATTGACATTTGTATCATTCTTTTTGATGTCATGATTATTAAATTCTTATTAAAGATTAATAACATCAAAGACATAAAATAATAGAAGTGAAGCTTTCAAAAAATGAAGGAAAATGGTAAACAGAGGAGATAAATAAGACTAAATATTAACTGACTCATTGGTAATGAAGCACTTGCGGAGCCATCTATGCATAAAGACAATAGATAAACTTCTTATTACAGAGGACACAGTACTGTAGCCATGCCACCGTCGCACAGTGGGTTAAGAAAAAAATGAAATTCATTTCAATGCATCAAATAAGAGAGTAAGAATCGTCAGAATCTCGTATAAAAAAAGAAAATCAAGAATATATTTTGAATTCTTCGATTCTGGAAAACAACTTAGTCCTTTACTTACCTAAACTAGGAAAGCTCTTTTCAAGTAACTAACAGAAAAGGTCGTAATTAACTCGTC